ATATATATATATATATATATATATATATATATTCAACTAACTATATTTACCTTTTTGTCATCATAATGACCGTAAGTTTAACAAATTCATGTTTGTGACAATGATCAAATGTATGTAAAAATTCGTGAAAATAACTTGAAAGTGAAGATAAATTTGAAATAAAGGTAGATGAATGTAGTTGAAAAAAATTAAGTTGAATTAAAAAGCTCAACACATCCAAAGGCTCAAAAGTGTTCTCGCCATTTTCACTATAACTTTTATTCTCACATGATCCATCAAACTTATACATACATACATATATACACATATATATGTGTAGGGTTGGGTTCACGTGAGACCAAAGGTTTTTCGTGAGACCCATAAGACCAATTTATGTTTATTGATCAACTTTATAAGTTAATGATCTAATGGTCTAAATTGTACGGTGGTAATTTTGTAATTATTGAGAAGTCTCGTGGCATTTATGAATGTTCAGATTGTTAGATTGTAGATCTAATCTAAGGGTTGAGAATTGGTCTTACGGGTCTCATGAAAAACCTTTGGTCTTACATGATCCCAAGTCTATGTGTGTGTGTGTGTCTATATATATATATATATATATATATATATATATGGTTAGGTTCACGTGAGACCAACCTATTTTCGTGAGACCCGTGAAACCACTTTTTTACACTTCAAACTTCACAACAAAAATGCTATGAATGTAAAAAAGCCGAACATTTACAGCAAAAACACTGTGAAGGTTATGAATGTAAAAAAGCCGAACATTTACAGCAAAAACACTGTGAAGGTTACCTTCACAACATTTTGCTGTGAAGTTTCAAGTGCAAAAAAATAGACTCATGGATCTCACGAAAACCAGTTGGTCTCACGTGATCCCAAGTCTATATATGCATGTATGTATGTATATATATATATATATATATATATATATAGGTGGAGGTTCAAACGAGAACTCCTGTGATTTACAAGAATGCGAGAACAATCTAATAACCTCAAACTTTTTTAATTAATAAATTAACTTATATTAAATATAAATAAATTAATAAAGGCAGTAATGTAATTAATTAATTTTATAATTTTTATTTTATTTTAATTAGTCATAATTATCCTTTTTTTTCGTGCACATTCTTTTCCACTCTCTCCTCTTTCCTTGTGATAATTGTGTGATTGTGTAATCATAACCTATCAAAACCATGATCAATGAAGTGTAACCATAACCTATCGAAACCATGAGTAATCGTTGTGATAAATGTGTGATTGTCTAACCCTAACCGATCGAAACYATGATCAAATTGAATGCACAAGTGATGTTATAATAGTGATATCACATGATTATCACACCCATATCACACCAAATCGTTTAATGGATTTCGCCCGTAATTATTGTGATAAAGTGTGATCGGCTAATCCTAACCGATCGAAACCATAATCAAATCGAGTGTGCTGTTATGATAGTGATATCACATGATTATCACACCCATATCACACCAAATYGGTAGTCGATTTTCTAAGTTAACCCTAGCCGAGCGGAATCCTTGTGATAATTGTGTGATAATCACATGATTATCACAMCCAAATCACACCAAATCGTGTTGATATAAGCGATAATGTGATAAYTGTGTGATAATCACATGATTATCACACCCATATCAYATGATTAACCGTTTATTAGATAATGATAATCATGATCGTGTAATCGTATTAAAAGATTTTATGATATCATTTCCATTATTATCCTTTTAATTTTAATATTTTCTGAATCTTTTTAAATTTCAATTTTAGTTTTAAAAATCTTTTAATTTTATTTTTTATCACAATATGTGATTATTGAGTTGTTCTCGCATTCTCGTAAATCACATGGGTTCTCGTTTGAACCCTTCCCTATATATATATATATATATGTATATGCATATAGACAAAGAATAGGAGTTAAGTGAGAAACGTAAGGAATGATCTGAACCCTAAATTACTTTTAATCTCACCCCCACCCATAAACTTTGTTTATTACGTGAATTGGTCCAACACATTTAGATGCACCACATAATTACGATTGATTCAAGAGTGGATATCCCTTCTTACCATTTTCACCATAACTTTCATTCTCGTTGGAACCCAACCCATATATATACACAAACACACATATACACACCCACACACCTACATATATATATATATACATATACATATACATATATACATATACATATACATATATATATGTATATGTATATATATATGTATATGTATATATATATATGTATATATATATATATGGGAAATTCGATTGAGAACTCAGTACTTTACGATAATCGTGAGATGCAATCTCAAATACATATTAAAGGATAAGTTAGAAATTTAATAAATTTTGATTTAAAATCATAAAGGTCTCTAATTTAGTATCACATTTGTATCATATGTGATGAAATATAGTATCACATGTGATTGTCTATAGTAAAAGGTGTTCATGTGTTCCCGTAAAATAAAAGTGTTCTCGTTTGAACCTTTATATATATATATATATATATATATGGAAATACTAATTTGAGAAGTGCTAAATATCTGAGAAATAAAAAATTGATCTTAGTCTTCATCTGGTCAACATTTGTGGCTTTTACCATGAAGCACCAGATAATTTCTCACATAGGTATGCGGAAGATGAAGGGTTAGTTTCGTAACTTGTACAAATAAGAGGCAAACGAGTTATATATGAAACCATGTGATTCACATATAAACTATATGTTCATTTGTGAACCCATTAATTAGTTAACATGTGAACTAATTAACTGATTCATATATGAACCAACATGTTCATATATGAATTAGTTAATTAGTTCATATGTAAATCACATGGGTTCATATGTGAATCAGTTAAAATAGTTCATATATGAATTACACAAGTTCACATATGAACATATAGTTCATATGTAAATTACATAGATTTACATATGAACTCATTTGTCATCTATTTGTAAAAGTTACGAGATTACCTCTTCCATTTTTTGCAAAGCCGCAATTATTGAAAAATCAAATCTGATCTTGACCCTATGAAAGGATACGATCACTTATTTACTTTTCAAATATTTACAACTTCTCAAGATAATCATTGCATACACATAAATTTACTAGAAAGGTACTCGTGCAATGCAATGAAATATATCTTGGTTTTAATGTTTCATTTTATTCATCTTCTCTGTCGATATAATACGGTTTTACGTGGTTTTAGAAAACGATAATATTTTTATTTTTGAACGAAATATAAATTTGAAAAAAATGTATCGATATTAGTATTAAGTTAACTATTTAAAAGTTATTGTTTTCTGTGTAATTTCTTTATTTTAATTTTCTATTATAATTTAATTTAGATTTAATAACATAATTTTTATAAGGATGATAATTAAGTATTATGTCAAAACTCAATGATCATTCTAATTATATTTTAATTTTTTATATTTAAAATCAGATGTTTATCGTGTATTTAATTATGTTTATATGCTGTTAGTTACACGAATTCAAAAATAAAGCTTTAATAAATTGTAGTTACGAATAATTTACTTGTAACATATATTTTAAGTAATACGTATCAATAAACAATACGTCATACATAAAAAATGGTTTTTAAAAATATTTGTGAAATGTTATATATATATATATATATATATATATATATATATATATATATAAAGATTCTGTGAATGGATTTAAATAAAATTTCTTAGATTGCTTCAAAAGTCTTTTCCCTTTTAATGAACGGAAGCAAATCCATCTCCTTCGTGATAAGCATTAGGTTGATACGATAAGAACACTTTATAAATATGACATCATACTTTATATATATATATATATATATATATATATATATATTAGAAGGGTGTTCGTACAATGCAGCGAGATACATTTCGGTTTTAATGTTTTATATTGTTTTTGTCTCAGTCGATGTTATAAGACCATTTTATATGGTTTTGAGAAAACGATAATGTTTTTATTTTATATGGTTTTAATGTTTTATATTGTTTTTGTTAGAATTCAATGATTATCCTAATTATATTTAAATTTTTTATATTTAAAATTAGATGTTTATCCTCTCGATTATGTTTATCTACAGTTAGTTACACAAATTCAAACATGAAGCTTTAATAAGTTGTACTTACGCATAATTTACTGTTAATCTTGAATTTCAAGTAATATGCATCAATAAACAGTACTTCATATATAAAAATGGTTTTTAAGAGTTTTTGTCAAATACTTTATAATATAGTGTGTGTGTGTGTGTATATATATATATAGGGTCGGATTCACGTGAGACCAAAGGTTTTTCGTGAG